GGGTCTCTGTACTTCTCTCTGTCCTACAATTTAAACAGACAATAATAGGGATGACGTTGGGGTGATGAGCCGGCGCTTGATGCGTCGCCAAAAAGGGGAAGTGTCGAGACAATTTGAGCAATTTTTTTCCCACGGTGACAACGTGGGTGCGCTGAAAAATTTCATTTAATTCGATATATTTTTCGAGTGCTTGCAATAAATAGTTCATGTGCTGTAGTTACATTTGCAATAATATGAGAGAGAGAGAGAGAGAGAGAGAGAAGGGGAAGAGAGGGAGGGAGGAGAGAGAGAGTAATATAAAATTTATAAATTTCATACTTATTTCTGGGATTGTCATATTACGGCGAAGATGCTTGTCGTCATGGTTACAGGTTAAACATTCATTTTCTGTTCGTACAAAAACTCAGAAACTATTCGGTCATCACTTTTCCCAGGAAATTTTAGAGACTTGTGACCTTGTCACTTATTCAATTGAATATTATTGTTCCTATGGAACTATTATAGTTTTATTTAATTTTTGTCACTTTTTAATAAATATTTTCTACAACGTTAATAACAATAAAAAGAAGACCCAACGAAGGATCATGAAAGTAGTGTGTGTGTGTGTGTGTGTGTGTGTGTGTAGGTTTTGGTTAAAGCCCAACCAGTTTTTGTTTAAAAGTTTTTAAATTCTCTCTGTAAGTAAACACACTGTCTATCTATATACACAAACCCGTCAACTCACAAAAAATTATTTGATAATAGTTTTGAAACCACTCAGAAGCGACTGACCAATTCATGTTAAAGTTACCCGCGGAAAAAAAAAGAAGAAAGAAAGCAAAAAACGGTCAGAATAGAAAAATTATATTTAAAGAATCTAAAACAAAGAAATGTCATTGATCTTGTGGATTTGCTCTTCTTAGACTAGAAGTAGTAGAAAATAAAATTTACACATGTCTTTACTAAAGGTGAAAGGAAATTGAATAAATTTCAACAAGGCGATATTTTTGTGTTTTATGGCTAATAAATGATTAACAAGAAATATCATCTCTATCGCTAAAAGGCAGGATGTGTGTGTGTTTGTAATGAATGCACGGCCGCAATTCTCGACGGATTTGCACTAAAATTTACATGCACATGCTCCAAGTTAGCGGGAAGGCCAAGACTGACTTTGCATTTCCCAACTCCCATAGATAGTGGAAATAATCGATTTTTTCATGCTTCTACGGCAGTTTTCATGTAGTTTGCGGCCATTTTCTACTGGCCAGAGAGCCTATAGCTGGCTGCCACGAATAGGCAGGAAGATTCTATTGGCCAGCGTGAGAGCCAACAGCTGACTGACACGAATGTTAACTAGCATGCAAAAAAAATCGATAGCTGCATTCGTCACAAGTGGGAAAAATTTAAATCTGCATGGCACTTTACTCCAATTGGCTCATTCGCGTGCTTAAACTCAACATTGATTCTGATTCCACATAACTGGGTTGGGTGTGAAAAAGTATTTGTTGTTAACATTCTCTTTTCATTCGGTTTTTCCAGTTACGAGTCCTTTTTTAAAGCTGATAGTTTTGTGTTCATTTTGTTTAGTTCTTTTTTCGTAACAGATTTAATGTTTAGTATAGAGCTTAGAAAAAATTCGCAGTGTGAGATAGGCAAGAAGTAAGGCATATAGCAACATCAGCACGGCAAAGGGCACTCCTTTAAAGGCAAGGAAAGGCAAAAATATTTTAAGTCAAGTGATAGCGATTGCTGCTTGAGTCGTACGATTTTTGAATCAAGCACGGGCAACGCCGGGCCATGCTGCTAGTGTATACTATATGCATGCAAAAATAGCTGAAAAGAAAGAAGATATTAAATATAGCTATTAGGAATTATGCGTCTATTTGTGTGTGTGTGTGTGTGTGTGTGTGTGTGTGAACGTGTTCAGTCATTCGAGGAAAGGTGTCCTCAAGCCGGGAAAGTGTTGGTGTTGCTAGTACCGCATGTTAAAAGGAAAGAAAATAAAAGAGCAAGAAACAGGAAGTGTTCGGTTTTTATATTTCCTACACAGTGCTGCCAAACGGCGTCTTGGCAAATCAAGAGGGGGCAATCCCACAATCTTTAATCACATACATCCTAGATTTGTTAAAGTTCATTAAACTTCGATTCTTTCCAAAAGTTAATAAAATAGAAATTTGGGTTGAATCCTACTTATTATAAAACGCAGATTGTGTGTGTGTGTGTGTCTGTAACGTTTATATATTGGATCGGATTTCCTACATTTTTCAACCGATTTCAACAAAACTTCACAGGACTACATAAAATTACTTTGTGGTGGTTCTAACAGCGCCAAAAATGGGAAAAATATAATTGTTTTTGCACAAAATCAATTTGAAAACATGATTAAGAGACATCGTGAAAATGGAAGGGGACAACTCACATCGGGTTGTTTGTATGTGTGGGTTACTTTAAGTATGAGAGCGGATTTCCTATATTTTTCAGCCGATAAAACAAAACTTCACTTTTTTTGGCATGTAGTGTTTCTTATTCTCTTGCACACTTTTTTCTTTATTTTTACATTCAGAATGCTTTAAAAATTCCATTTACAAGACAATTGTTTATAATAAAATTCTATTCAATCGGTAGACTCATAACGATCGAAAACAATGTTTTTGTTTGGGTTTGACCAATTCGTAAAAAAAAAAAAAAAAAAAATAAACTAATTAAGACACGCGTGTCCGTCAACCTTAAACAATAATCTAACGATCTCTACTGATTGTACGAATACAAACATCGGAATAAATTCTTTATCTTCAGGGAAAGATAATGAAATCTATACATACACAAGTCCTAACTAAAAATAATAACGGGAAAGGGAAACTACTTTAAATACACATGGTGTCCAATTTTTTTACTGTATTCAATAAGTAAAAATCATAAATTGTAAAAGATTATTATATATTACAGAGAAGGCTACTAAATGAATAAGATTTGTTAGATCATAATTAACAAACCCAAATAAAATTAATATTTTTTGTATTAGAAACGAGTGGAAAATATATTCAAATCAGAATTCTAATTATGAATCCCCACAAGCAAAATATGCAATTTTTTTTACTGTATCCAATAAGTAAAAATCATAAATTGTAAAACTAAATGATTACAGAAAGGCTACCTACATTTTTCAACCGATTTCAACAAAACTTCACTTTTTTTTGGCATGTAGTGTTTCTTATTGTCTTCCACACTTTTTTCTTTATTTTTACATTCAGAATGCTTTAAAAATTCCATTTACAAGACAATTGTTTATAATAAAATTCTATTCAATCGGTAGACTCATAACGATTGAAAACAATGTTTTTGTTTGAGTTTGGGTTTGACCAATTCGTAAAAAAAAACAAAAAAAAAAAAAAAAAAAAAAAAAACTAATTAAGACATGCGTGTCCGTCAACCTTAAACAATAATCTTTGTCAATTTTATTTTCCAGTCTTTATGATGGTGGATACTTGATCTATCTCTTACTGTTATATCCCCGGGCAACGCCGGGCTCTGCTGCTAGTTATTGATATTACTGATACAAGAAGAGTGGTTTCTCTATTATTAGTGACTAATATCTACAACTAGCTATGAGTATAATTTCTATTCGGTATTTAGAAAATGAGAATAATTAAGAGGTTACTACCCGGAAACCTTTGTACACAATACGGGCACAGCAGATTCTCAGAATCTGAACAAAGGAAGCATATTGCGATTTCGTTAAACGAAAACAACGGGAATCTGTGAGTTAACCTACTTTCGACCATAACAACATTTGTTTTTGTTTTTGTTATTTTATGTTTTTTATTATAAAAATGCATCATAACTTTTAAACTCAGTCGCACTCTACGTGTAAAACCCCAAATAGTCTTATAATCTTCTTAAAACCAGATCTTCTTTTGATTCTTGTTACACAAATTTCCACTACTGGTCAGATGTAAACGCTCCGAAACCTAAGACTGAAAAAAAAAAAAAAATTCCGTTAACTGCGCATCGGCTCCGCACAGAGCTTCCATTTTACTTACACCCTCAAGAAAAATACAATCCAGAACTTTCAACCAATAGCATCCACTCCCGCCTAAAGAAACAAAATAAAAATTGGAGCCGATCTGAGCCCAAGAGAAGGATATAAAACCCCATCAAAGGGACATCTTTGGCAGTTGGACGGCACAACAGCCAGAATTCACAACGCTCGTTGGAAAGCGACCTCCCATCTCCAAAGACAACTCGTCAAAGGTCGTCGCCACAGTAAATCACAACTCACCCTCCCTCGCCTACTGTACGCCTCTGCGGTCGACTTTTACAATTCTACTTTTCTCTTTCAACGAGAGACATTTACACTAATTTACTATTTGTTGTACTTTTACGTTAATACAATTGTTTATTTCTTAAACCTCCGTTGTTCTGCCGCCATACGCTTAATATAACGACAGCCAGCACGCCAAACGAAAGAGGAAACACTACCAGTCAAGTGTCATACGTAATACACTCTTGGGCGATCATGGCTCTTTCGATTCATGACTGACCCGGCAGAAGATTTTCCCGCCGTTTGCCCTTTCTTTCTGCGGTAGACCGATAGCTGGGTGGACTATAGATGGATTCTTATCTTTTCCAGGGTATTTGCGCGTAAGTGAATGCAACTAACCTGACTTGAATTCGAACTCGGCTCTCCGATTTCTCATTCTAAGCCGTTATCCATTACATCACAACGCACATCAATTAGAAAGTAACATAATATCGCTGTCTCGATTGAATGATTTTTTTTACGGCTTATCAACATGTGGCGAGTTATTTAAAGCCAGACAAACATTTTTAGATGGTAAGAATTTTTTGAGATAATAATGACTTACTGATACAAGTTGGGCGGAAGAAGAGGAGGTGGATTCATACTTTTCCGAAGAGTATTTGCGCGTAAGGGAATATAACGAACCACACTGGAATTTGAACTCGGCTCTGCGATTCCCAATTCCGAATCGTTATCTGTTACATCACCAGCACATCCAAGTTTACAGCACCTGGTATTTCCACGCAGTCACCTATTTAGGTATTGATCAAGTTCGACGTTGTTTACCTATGGTGATCGTACGAGAACCGGTGTTTCAACGTGATATGGCCGGAAGTCATCACTGTCTCTATAACTCTTTCACGTTGATAAAATATATTATAATTTTTATCATTATCTAATGAAATATGCAGTCTGTGCATATTTTAGTTAGTGAGATATTTTTTGTCGTGGTTTATTTACTTTAACACTTATTGCTGAGGGGATATTTTATTGCGATAGATGGAGGTAGGCTCAATGTTGATATAGTATAGTGTCGCGTGGACAGTCGATAGAAATGGAAAGCAAAGTTGTACATTGAAAAACTATATTCTATTGCCTTAGCAAGAATAAATAAATAATCAAAAATATATAAGAAGGTGCTTAATTATAGATCCCTCTATTCGTTCGTACGATGTGTGCAAGTTCCTACTGAAGAACTTACATTTGAGAAGAGTTATCATCTTAAGTCACTTGTACGGTGTATTGTGTTCCATGCGACACGTGGTTTGCTGGGGACTAAGAAGTCCCACTAAAGCGAAACGGGTTTGGCCCAACTGGATCCTCTGCCGTAAAGAGGAAGAATAGAGATAGAGAGAAAGAGTGTGTTTGTGTCCTTTTCTTTATATACGGCGCCACATAGCGGTCATTAGCCAAAGTTCCTTGGTAGACAAGTGGGGTAATCCCACAGTATGTTACCAATCCTAAGATCTCTTGAACTCTATGGTTACTTTCCAGAGAAGTGGGTCGTAATGATTTCGATCCTCAATGAATACTCCATGTTCGTGATCTTGCGCTAAAACTAAATTGCGTTGAAAAATAACTACTTCCCAGAAGATTTTGAATGATTTTTAACAGTTAAAAGTTTATTTACAAAAATGCATTTCCTTTCGCAAAAGCCAGCATAGATTGATGTCCATTCTAAGCAACCTTATCGCAGACACCGTTGGGTCTCTTTGCAATAATAAAAAATCTTAGAAGTGCGATATTTGCCTGCCAAAACGTAATCATGTCCATCCGTTGTTAGGTTGTTTTTAATTTGTATTTTTTTAAAAATATGATTCTTAAAACGTAATAAAATTTTCGGCCTGATTTAATCCTGAATTTAATAATCTTTTGCAAACACCCACTAACTTTTTCTGAATAAAAAATCTCATTAATAAATTTTAATCATCCTTATAAACATATGAAAACATATATACAACCTAAGTTTTTAAACATCTGTCGAAGAGGCTCACCACTCGTATAACCCATAGCAGTATATATCATTATGTCATATCTGTTCAAATCTAAATTCGTCACGAGCAAGCGAAAGGAAAATACACGTATTGTCTTAAGCGAAATTTCATATATAGTTATTGCCTTATAATATTTGCTGTTATTTTGTAAATTACTCTCCTCAATAGAAATGCCGTATCCAGGCTGTATGGTGATAGAAAAATAAATAAATAATAACAAGATCAAAATTTCGCCAACTCTAAAAATAGATGTATATTCAGAATCGTTAGGCAGCAAAACCAATCAGAACCAAAGCGGCATTTAAGCGGGTCTCTAGATATGTACATGACGAGATTGAAAATCAACCGAAATCAGAATCGATGAATAAATGCTGTTTATTCTCCGATGTTGCGGTCATCGTAACATAACCATTATCTAGCGTGATCAAGAAACTGAACAAGGCCAGCACGTTCAAGCCCACGGCCTCGATGGCTTGTGACTTCGTGCTAGCACAGCTATCGACGGCACCCAAGGGTTCCATCTACCCAATTTCACTCACAAGGGTTTTCAGGCACTTTTCAAAGGTGCCACGTGCTGGGATCTATCTTGATCTAGTCCTATAACATCAGGAAAACTTCCTTCCTAACAAATCGATCGTAGTGAGATTCGAACCCGGGTCTCATGGTCAGAATGTGAACGTTGTAACCACGTGACCATATGCATACATACATGCATACATATACATTTACTTTCTCCCGGAGTCTCTCTCTCTCTCTCTCTCTTGTATGTACCAGAAATTTTTACTTGAACTCTTATTCATCTTATTATATTGTGTTATATAAATATTTATTTTGTATTTATCAACACTCTGTTCACTTTCCTTTAATCGTTACACAAGGCCAACATGCACCTCAAAACCGTAATAAATATATGATGGGAACTGACGTTGTCATAAAGTAGCCTTCACAAATCCTCCATAAAGGTTATGGGATAATTTGATTTGATTTTGACTCAACAGACTTGTTGTAACCTAGAGAAGGTTACTGAATAGAATAATCACACGAAGGTTGGTAGTGAACGAATAATACTTAGGACAAGAACAACACATGTAAGATTCGCCAGCGGCTCGTAGAAGAAGTAGTCAACGGCTAGAAGTGAGTCAAGTGAATTCCACAATGAATCTCCAACTGCAGAATATCTACCAACAACCCCACGCGGTCAGATGCGACACAAGGCCGAATTTAATGTTAGGTATCCGAGTCCGTATGTTTGGCCCCAAATTCCGGTAGACCTGTATAAAACGGGATCGGGTAGCTTTTTCTCGAGACGAGACTCTGCCCTTCGACATAGCCTTGTCTGGGAATCCTCTCTCCCCGGAGGCAGAGAGTTTGACCAGCACAGTTGGAGATGAATCTCCAACTGCAGGATATCTACCAACCACCCCACGCAGTCAGATGTGGCACAAGGCCGAGTTTAATGTAGGGTATCCGAGCCCGTAGGCTCGGCCTAAAGATTCCCCGTACACCTCGTATAAAATGGGGTCGGGTAGCTGTTTCTCTTCGACATAGCCTCGTCTGTGGATCCTCTTTGTCCGGAGGCAGAGAGTTTTACCAGCACAACTGTAGACGAATCTTCATCTCCATCTGCAGACCAATGAATATACAGTATTTACTACTGTAGGTATGTGAATGGGGGTATACCCATTATCGTCCGTAGGTATGCTACAATAAGACTAAATAAACGAAAATATAAAAAACAGCAAATCCGAGTTCATTTGAGTATTGTTTAATAACTTGTCATAAAAATAAAAGTTTTATTTATTGATTTATTTCAATCAGGTTCATATGGAATTTGATCGGGACATCTTGAATGATAATTTCAGTTCTAAAACGTTTAAATATTATGATCATGAATGTTATTTTTATTAAATGTTCACCCAAAATCACTGCCAAGAGCCACTCAAGATAGTGAGGTTGGTGTATGAACATAAGAATGAATCTGTCATGCGTGTTCATTGTGCATATATCTTTTGTATTATTAATGCTTCAAGAAAACTACAAAACTCCAAATGTGAATCAATAAGTATATATTGAAATAACATGCAAGAACAAAATATACAATAATTTGTATTTAATGTATAGATTAAGGGAAAAGAAGTTGCCTCGCTTTTACCGTATTTTGATTTGTAATTAATTGTTCGAAAAAAGTTCTCTTTAGAGAGAAATGTTCAGGAATCAATGTTAGAACAAGTCTGCTGTTAGAATAGATAACACAAGAATACAAAGCGTGTTGTGTTAGAGAAATCAACAGAGTCCTGATTGATTGAACTTGGCTAAGTCACAGAGAGATATGTATATATATATTACAAAATTCTGTGTCTATGTGTGCGTTTGAAATGTTGTGAGTAAAGTCATAGGTTTGTGTTGACAGGCGAAATTTAGTGGACTCTACTGGCGGCTTGTGAAAAAGTCGCCTCTTTTAAAGCTATACATAGGTTCCCAACGAATCCGCGGGAAAGTTGATTTTGAACTAAATTATGTGACTGGTTAAAATTTGACCAATCGCTAAATTTGTACTAACGAAACAAGTAAGCAAGTTCAAAACCGAAAAATTCAAAGCACGGCTGCGATGGCTAAATTGTCCTATAGAAAGGCAGTATTGATTTATTAGCCAATCGCAGACGAATAAAATGTGGACGTGGAAAAACATAGCAGTTGCTACAAATCCATCTGTTCACCCATTAGTTATGGGTTAATTAGTAGGACTTTTATCAGTAAATCATTATTATCTTCCAAATAAAATTCTTACAATCTTAAAATATTTCTGTGCTTAAATATCTTTTTGTTTATATATATATATATATATATATATATATATATATCAGTTTTATTTTATTTTTATCGCGGCTCACCACAATTTAACGCTAAAAATTAAATCATACGCTGATCTCCCATAGTGTCTTTTTTCATACATCTGTTTAGTTTAACTCAAACTAAATCAATTTTGTTGACAGAATTATTTATGATGCGTGTGCAAAACTTTGCCAGATTTTTTTTTTCTCGTAAACTGTTGCATACGCTCAATATATACGTGTTAGGTTCTCAGAATCTTGGTAAAGAAATCTCTGCATTTTGTGATCTCGGGGGTGATCGACTGTAGGGAGTCTTTGATGATAATTAAAACTGCATCAAAACTTTAAGCTCAGTCACACTTTGCATGTAATCATTCAAAATCCCCAAATAGCCAGCAACGCCAAAAACGAAAGAGAAAACATCACACTCAAACTTGCAAGTGACACATTATCGCTGTCTTGAACGTGGTTTTATACGATAAGTGTTTTTACTCAAGAGTTTCGTTGCTACAAAAGCAGAGTGCTTAAGAGAGATGCGTCACCCTCATAAGTATCACACTTTTGCTTGTCGGTGTGATTATGAAAAAGAAAGAAAGAAATACTGGACAACAGCACACAATAGGACAATCAGATGAAAAGCACAATAAGCGAACTTTATTCTTTCTTTGCTTTTAGTCAATAACTGGTTATCGTCTCTTGAACTTTGTCAAGTTTTTTGTAGTCTGCCGCTCTCATCATCATCATCATAACCGACATATGATCAACATAATTGAGCCCATACTTATTGAAATACGCCCTGTTGAAGTGTTTTGCGATACAGTAACAATAATAACCTCACAGATGGCGCTATGGCACCACATGTACTTATCTGCATTACAATTAAAAAAAATGAAAAACTAGTATTCATTACTTATCTTAAATTGGGTACATGTAATAAATGGAATAAATTTAGCCCAATTAATTAGGTTATTTAAAAACAATGATTTCTGTTCACATTTTAAATAAAAG